GAGGGGCTCGGGCAGAAGGGGCGGGGCTGGGGCCAGACTCTCCCAGACAGCCTTTCAGCACGGCCCGGAGGTGATTTAAAGGGCCCGGGGCTCCCAGCTGCTGTTATCGCTACCCAGAGGCTCCAGCAGCAATTTAAAGGGCTGGAACCTTGGGCCCTTTAAATCGCCACAGGAGCCCTGGGGCTCCCGGCCGCCATTGCTATCCCAGGGCTCCAGCAACGATTTAAAGGGCCCAGGGCTCCGGCTGCTGGTGCGATAGTGGTAGCGGTGGCCAGGAGCCCCGGGCCCTTTAAATCTCCACAGGAGCCCCATGGTAGCGGTAACGGCGGCCAGGAGCCCCGGGGCTCAGGTGGCGATTTAAAGGGCCAGGGGCTCTGTCTGCTGCAGGAAGCCCTGGGCCCTTGTAATTGTAAATTGTAATTGTAAATTGCCGGGTCCCGGGGAAGCTGCCCCTTTTGGACCCCTCATCAGCGGCTCTGCCAGTATGGTCGGCTGTGTACTGGCTCCTACCGGTACGCTTTACCGTATCGTACTGGCTTACTCTCACCTCTGGCTATAGCTGGCAAATTCTTTCTAGTGCAGACAAAGCCTGAGACTCTCTCAGCCCTTAATTGAAGGGGTTATGGCTCTGTGGCCCCAATTCAGCACAGTGCTTGGACAGAGACTACCCAGCACAGTTTTACAAAGGAAAATCATGTCTCACAAATTTTTAGAATTCTCTAAACCTGTCAATGAAGTAGTGGATAAAGGAGACCTGGTTCATATTATTTATTTAGACTTCCAAAAGGCCCTCAACAAGGTCCTGCACAGAAGAGTACTTAAGAAGCATGGTCGCAGGGTGAGAGACAAAATATTGTCATGGATCAAAAGCGGTCTAGAAGACAGAAAACAAAGAGTAAGATTCAATGGTTAATTTTCATCATGGTATCAGGTTAACAGTGAGCTGTCTCGTGGTTATATACTAGGTCCTGTGTTGTTTAATTTGCAAAGTTATTTAGGTTAGTTAGGACTATAGACGATTGTGAGAAACTTCAGAGACACCTAAACAAATTAGGTGACTGGGCAACACAGTGGCAAATGGAATTCAATGTCAGCAATGCAAAGTAATGCACACTGGAGAGGAAAATTTAAACTACTCAGACATCTTAAAGTGTTCTAAATTAACTGTATCTGCTCAAGAAAGGGATCTGGGTGTTGACAGCTCAATGAAGACCTCCCATCAATGTGCAGCTGTGGTCAAAAGGCAAACAAGATTTTTGGATGGATAAGAAATGGGATGGGAAATCCTACAGAGACTATTATAACACCTTTATGTAAATCAGTGGTGTGGCCTCATCTGGATAACAAGAATGATCAAGGGCACTGAAAAGTCTCCAATAAAGAGAAATTGAAAGGTTTGGGATTGTTTACCTTTGAACAGCGATGAATAACAGGATACATGATAAAAGAACACAAAATAATGACTGGTCTAGAGAAGGGAGATTGGGACCTTCTGTTCCTTCATCTCATAACACAAGAACAAGGGGACATCCAGTTAAATTAAAAGGTCTGAAATTCGAAACTGATGTAGGAAATACTTTTTCATATAATGGGTAATTATACTATGGAATTCACTGCAACAGGAAATTATTGAGGCCAAGAGCTTAACAAGATTCAAAAAGGGGTTTGAGTATTGATATCAAGAATATCCAGAGTTATCATAATTAATGATATTATAATTCTGTGGAAGGAATATTAAACCTCATGCTTCAGGGTTTAAGGTAATACCTAAATATTTGAGATTAGGATGAGATGGAACGTGGGGGACAGATCACACACCAGCTGCCTACTGCAAAGTTCGTACATCCTGCTCTGAATCTTCTGGTGCTGACTGTTGTTGGAGACAGGGTACTGTTAGCCAGGATGGACCTTGGGTCTGAGCAATTATGGCAGTTTCTATGTCCCTATACATGTTAGCATATGCTAAATTTAGATGTGCTTAAAACTCTTTGATTTAAATGGACAATGAATTTCACCCTAAATGAATTAAGTTTCACAACACCCCTGAGAGGCAAGGAAATGTTATTCACATTCTGCATATGAGGAAACTGCAGCACAGAGAGATTAGATAATGTATCTAAGATTTCTTTCTAAGATTCTGTAGATCTCAGAAGGGAACCCAGCTCTCCTGATACCCAGTCCTGTGTTTTAGTCAAAAGTACACTATAAAATGATACACTAAATTATTTTGTATCAATTCCTTTTCAAAACTATGTTGACTCATAGGGGCTGGAACTATGGCTACTAGGGGTGCTGCCGCACCCCCTGGCTTGAAGTGGTATCCATTATATTCAGGGTTTACAGTTTGGTTCAGTGCTCTCAGCACCCCCACTATTTTTGGTAACTCTTCCAGGGAAAGTATGAACATTACTAAACTTGTGTTAAACAGTCTCTCATTAAATACTATCTTATCAGATAAATTCTGAGATACACATTTAGTATTTTAAATGGTTTTACACAATGCTTTTTATTGTGTTAATTCTTTGTAGTTTTAAAAACCATATGAAGTTCTGAAAGGCCTACATGATATATAATATTGTTACTATGACTGCAAATTATGCTGAACGTCAATGGAAAGTCCCAGTCCCAGTCCCAGTTCTGCAATGCCATGCTGCTGGGTTTAAAATGATATCCTGTTTTAGAAGGGATGCCTATTTAGGGCCTGATCCTGCAAACACTTACACCTATAAGTAACCTTTATTGACTTCAACAGGACTCCTTGTATGAGTAAAGTTAAATGGGACTACTCAGGTGGGTAGTGTTTACAGAACCAGGGTCTAATATTGCAAGAGGCTTCATTAGCTGCAATTATGTCTGTCTGTCTGTCTGTCTCAGGCACACATGCAAACCAGCATTGCTAAACATGTGCAATTACTCTTACCAGCATTAGACCAAAGCATAAATGGTGAAGTTCAGCTCTGAGCAAAAGACACTTCTCTTGAGGAAAGAGGAGATGGGGAGTTGAGTGAGTTGTCATCTTCAATGATAGATTCGACAGCTGACAATGATTTGTAATATTCATCCTCCCCATCAAGCACTTTGATTTGGCTTTGAAACAAAACACAAAACAAACGATTTTTATTAAATATATAAAATAAAAAGTACAAAGTAGTTCTGCAAAACCTTAAGAAATATACCTCTCTATGGATGGTGAAATGAAAACACTGAAAAAGTGTTAATACAAGAAGGGAAAAAGATGGGATGATTTTGTTAACAAGATGCAGCCTTTTTATGTCTCTCAATCTTGCTGCCACTTTTTCAGTGCTTTAAATCTCTCTGTGGGAACTGAATGGCTCTGAGGATTGGTAACAGGTCACACAGCCTTTCATCTCTAGGTCTGCAGTACAGTCAGACCAATTATTTGTAGCAAGTATTTCATTTCACAAATGTAGCATTTTTGTCTGATTGAAAATTTTCCACACACAGACTTTAATATTTACAAATATGTTCATTATTCAGAATTGTTCGAACTCCATAGGCAAACATTTGCTTGTGAACTATGGGCCTGATCCAAAGTCCACTAAAGGCAATTCCATTATCTTCAGTGGGTTTTGGATCAGGCCCTATTTGCTCCAACGGTGTCTTCAGCTTCTCATGATATATGATTGGACACCAAAATCACACAGTATTATTTCTGCTTCCTGACTGGGGGACAGATTTTTATAAACTGGAGGAGGTAACTCAAAGAGATACCAAGACAGCCATGCAAACAATTCTGGTTTGAACCTTCTAACAAACCCCATTTGCATTAGTATCCACAAGACTTTCACTTTCCGTGAACATTGTTGTGAACAAAAGAAAGTCACTTATATAACTATTTGCAGAAAATGAATAAAAAAGGGTCAAAATACATCAAAGAAAATGTGTGGGTATCACTGAATGAATGTTCATTAATATGTCTTTGCTGTGCACTAGTTGCTGCACACGTCAGTAATGCATGAAATTTGTTACTGCTGGATGGTGGCTTTTGTGAAATGCACTAGTGATCTCTGCCCACATCCTGTGAAAAGCATCCACATTACAAGTGATACTAATTAGCACCATTGGTGGCAGTCTTAGCCGAGAGCTAGTGGGCAAGGAACAACCCTTTCTCGGAAAGAACTCCCCTCTCTGTCTTCTCTGAGAACTGGTCCCTCCTGAGGCAGGGTTGAAGCATATTGCTAAGGTGGTGAGAGGAAGCCTGCATGGCTTTTGTCCATGTTATGCTTGTTCTAGGCTAATTGGCTTCAACTTCAGAGACTCTAAGTCCAGCACCTTTTACTATGACTAAATTTGTTTATTTAAAAAGAGGAAGCTAAAATTTGTTTGAGTTGTACTGTGAGAGAGTTGGGGAGAATATTTTGTAAGAGCCAGTTCTAGTGTTTGCAGACAGTAGTAGATACATGTTTTATATTTGCTTCTGTAGAAAATGTCCAATGTCAATGCACAGAGATATGGTAACTGTTTATTTTTAGAAACCTCTCTAGAAAGTTTTTCATTTTCTATAATATCACAAAGGACTTCTTCTGTTTACAGTTGCTTAGAACTAAGAAGATAGATATTTACCCAAGTTTTCTTGGCTTCCTCTTGCTCCCTTGATATTCTAGAGTTCCCTGTGGAGAGGGCCAAGAACACACAGTCAAAGCAAAGCAGCAAGTCGTTAATTTTTAATTCAAAGTGATTTTGTGTTGAATGCAAGCAGATGCTGATAATATCAGAAGTCACAGCATAATTTTTTTGATCAAAGGGCTCAAGTGAGCCTGATGAAGCATGCATCTTGCTCGTCTTTGATAAACCACATCAATTATTCACCGTGAAGGCAGACATCCTGACATGAAAGCAACAGATAAAGAGCATAAGCACATGTTCAAGACGAGAGCAAAAGAACGTGGGGGTGGGGCTGGAGAGGCTGGAACAGGTATTAATAACCGAATTATTAACTGGAAACAAAGCCAGTAAAACAGCTTTATTGCCACTTTGAACTCACATTTAACTGGTTATAGTACATGTTGTCCTCAGGGCTATTCAGCATTTTGGGCTGCTGACATCGTCGACGAGGTGTTCTCAGCTTCTGTTCGAGACAGTTTTCTGAACCTAAAGTAAGATAACGCAATTTAGTTTTAAGCCATGCCAGGTGCTGTGAATGTCTTAGCATATTTTAGACTATAAACAGTCCTTTCTTCTTTCCTGTTCACTTCTAGATTTATTAGCAAATCTGTCCTATTCTAAGAAGGTATACAGAAAGTTTGGGATCTTTGTTTTCTGTTTTGGAACTTGGTTTAAACAAGAGTTTTTAGATGAAACTTTCTCTTATAACATCATTTTATTCCTGTATATATAACATATAACATGGTTCCTTATTCCTTTGACCCTTTATATTGACATATTCTGTTATCTAAGCAGGATAAGCATTGTGACTAGCTAGGGACTAGCAACAACATCAGCATCAAAACCGTTCACCTGTTTTTATAGACGCAACAGTAATAAATCCCTTTGACTGATGAGAATTAGTTTATTATTGTCTTTGTTTTACTATATAAAAAGCTACTTTCTTGATATAACATTCTATTTAAACAGAGAAATCAGTGCTATTTGAAATAATGCTTCCTTGAGTTAATTTGTGATACACTTGGAGCAAGAGTTGGTTAAAGCCATCTGGAACACATGCAGTTTAAAGATTAGAAAAACATTTTAGAAGGGAGGATTTTGTAGAAAATATGGTTTGAGCTAGTGCAAGCTCACAGCCTTTGTATTTTTGCTTTTTTCAAAAAAGAATATTGTTCTGTGTAATCTATAAGAGGTGGTTCAGAGAAAAAAAACTGATGGAAAGAACCTAACACAGCACAACTAATTGATGATATAAGCACTATTTTAAGGACAATTCATAAATATGCTAATAGAAAAAAAATCTGGGAATTAATTTCTTTTCCAAAAAGATCATTCACACAGCCTATCTTGACCTTTCTAACATGATTTTTTAACATGATTTTTTAAAAATAATAAATAACCTAATAATATTTCTAGTTCAAAGAAACAGGTGAATATTTAACTTTCAATACAAACATTGAAGGAAAAATATTACTCACATTACACTTGGATCCTGCTTTAAGAGTGTAATTTGCCCCTCTCCAGAGGCCCAGCACAAGGTCCTCATTCTGCTTAAGCCCTTTTGAAAACTTCAAAACTGAAGTTGATGGGGGGCCCTGGGCAGATGTGGGGCTCATTTGTAGGATCTGGCCCTTGATGATAACATAATTCTTTAAAGCAGTTTTGTGACGTTCTCAGGTCCACAGACTGATTGCTGGGTTTCTCTAAAGTTTTTCAGGTGTTATTCCCATTTTGGGACACATCCTGCCATTGTTCCAGATGTGAAGCACCCATGGAAATCAGTGGGAGTTTTACATAAAAACCAGTGTCAGGATATGGCTGTCTGTCAGCAAAGCTCCAACACTGCATTCTATGCCAAGGAGACTTTATGTGAGGTCTTTTCAATACAATTATCTAGTCCTTAAAGAAAGGATACATTTCAATGCAATTATATTCTTTAAAGAAAATAATCCTGCTAGCATAAAAAAAAACAAAATCTCACAAACCCAAAGATTTGACAAACTGTTTTTTCTACCCAATTGCAGTAGCTTTTATAACTTGCCTGGTACTATGCAGTGTTCACCTATTATTTATTTGTTCTTCATGGAACTTCAAGCTTGATGCAAATCCATCCCTCAGCTACCAATGCCCATGAATTATTGTAGGAAAAAAGCCCATTATTCACATTTGCCTGTGGGTGCCTCCCTTTACGTTTGTTTACTCAGTTTTACTCTCAACTATATACACAGTGCACAGGTGTGATTCCCACTATGTGACTCAGGGCAAAGTCAGGCTCAAAATCTTAAAGTTATTTGTTTGAAGAAATTAACTCTTTACAACAACAGAATACCCTCAAGTAATAAATTCATATTATTTGCTAATTACAATCCCAAAAGCTTAAGATCTTGATGCTTTCCAATGTTCTACTCATTTTGCAAAGAGTTGTTTGTGGATCAAGAAATTCTGGCAGCATTGACTACACCTCTGCTGTTTGCCAGTATTGTCTCTAAGTAGACAAGGTACAAAACTCTTCCAGGGTATATTGCTCGAAAGTCAAGGTACAAAACTCTTCCAGGGTCTATTGCTCGAAAGTCAAGGTACAAAACTCTTCCAGGGTCTATTGCTCGAAAGTCAAGGTACAAAACTCTTCCAGGGTATATTGCTCGAAAGTTGGATGCCTAACTCCTATTCGTGTCTTGGAAAATGTCCCCTATGATATTTAAATATAATAAAGAGATTATCAATTAAATCTTGGTCCCATTAAAATCAATGGACATTTTGCCATTGACTTCAATGAGGCCAGGATTTCACTGAGCATTTCCAAAATTATTAAGTTTGGGTTTGGAAGGGACCTTGGGATTCAAAACTTTGATGATGTCAGGATCTGTAATTGTCCTCATGGTGATGTTTCAGTCTTAGGGCCAAATTATGATCTCCCTTACAGAAATACAAATCAGGAGTCATTGCACTGAAATCAATTCTTGTTACACTGGTGTAAAACTAGTGTGAGTGAGTGAAGAACTGGGCACTCTTTCACACACCTATCAGATGCTTGCCAAAAGCACACAATTATTACAAAGCTTGTTATCAGTACCCTGCTGTGATGTGATGTACTGGATTACGTGACAAAGGGAATACATTGTATACTTCTTTCAAAATATATTTTAATACCTTCCTTTTATTTTCCAGCAACATCTACATTAAAATTTTATGTTGCTATGGTTTATTTTGTCCATCTAGATTCTGATTTAATAAAGTTTTGCTCTTGCTATTTACCCCTACACATAATTATTTCTGCATATTACATAGGTGGCCTGCAGATTGCATCCTCCAAAGGAAATACATTTTCAGTGGACCCATTTGTCTTAGCATTTAGTAGCATAAAATAGGAATAGTAAGAAAATCTGGTAACATTTATCATACACTACTGTATCTGGAGAAAAGTGTATTAACATATGCTCTACATTCAGCAGTTAAATAGGCATTTCAAATAGCGTTTTAAAATGTTTAGCTTTGATGATAAAGTTAAGGCCACTGACAGGAAAAATTACTTGTCATTGTAATAATAGCTATCTATTTATTGTTTATATAGCACCCAACGTGTGCTACGTGCCTCTGGTATGCCTGCAAGAGTCTGTGTGCTACAAATCTGGGTAGAAGATTCAGGGTGGGCAGACACTTATGCCCCCTTACATCCCTGATTTTGTACCAAAATCAAAGTAGCCCATTTAAAATGGGTTAAAACTGGCTGACAGAGCTATAAAAAAGTCATTATACTTTGGAAAACATTAGCCAATAGGGCTGTTTCTAATAGGGTCCTGAAGAGATCTTTTCTTGGCCCAATGTTATTCAATATCAATGATTAGGTAGAAAGTATAAAATCATTGCTGGTAAAGTTTGAAAATGACATAAAAATTACTGGCATAGTAAGTAATGATAAGGACAACTTAATTTTACAGCGCAATCTAGATCACTTGGTAAGCTGGGTTCACTTGAACTATATGTGTTTTAATAGAGCTAAATGCAAGATCCATACATCTGGGAACAAAGACTGAAGGTCACATTTTCAGGAATAGGGACTGATTTTGGAAAGCAGAGATTCTGAAAGGTACTAACGCATCATGGTGGATACCAATTGAGCATGAGCTCCCAGTCCGACATATGGCTAAGACTACCAATGTGATTCTTGGATGCATAAGCAGGGAATAGTGAGTAAAAGTAGGGAGTTAGTATTGCTATTGCATACAGCGTTAATGAGACCATTATCAATGGAACACATTTTAAAAGAGAAAGGAGTTAAGGACATAGAGGTAAATGGTTATTGGGATGAAATACAACATGACTTTACAAAAGGTTGATCATGCCAGACCAACCTGATCTTCTTTGAGAAGATAACTGATTTGTTAGACAAAGGAAATGCAGTAGATCTAAGCTGCCTGGATTTCAGTGAGGCACTTAATAAAGTCTACATAGGCAAGTATTACTTAAATTAGAGAAGATGGAGATTAATATGAGAATTGAAAGATGGATAAGGAACTGGTTGAAGGGGAGAGTACAATGGGTCACACTGGAAGGTGAACTGTCAGGAATCAGTCTTGGGATCAATCTTATTTAACATTTTTATTAATGACCTTGGCATAAAAAGTGGAAGTGTGCTAATAAAATTTGCAGATGACACAAAGTTGGAACATATTTCAAATACAGAGGAGGACCAGAATATCATACAAGAAGATCTGGATGACCTTGAAAACTGGAGTAATAGAAATGGGATGAAATTTAATAGTGCAAAGTGGAAGATTATGCATTTAGGGGCTAACAAGAAGAATTTTTGCTATAAGCTGGGGACATATTAGTTGGAAGTGACAGGAGGAGGAGAAAGACCTGGGTTGTATTGTTTGATCACAGGATGACTATGAGCCACCAATGTGATGCAGCCTTGTAAAAGGCCGATGCAGTTCTAGGATGCATCAGCCGAGTTATTTCCAGTACAGACAGGAAAGTGTTAGTGCCATTATACAAGACTCTGGTGAGACCTCATCTGGAACATGGTGTGCAATTTTGGTCTCCCATGTTTAAGAAAGATGAATTCAAACTGGAACAGGTGCAGATAATGTCTACTAGGATGATCAGAGGCATAGAAAACCTATCTTATAAGAGGAGGCTCAAAGAGCGTGGCTTGTTTAGTCTAACCAAAAGAAGGCTGTGGGGAGATCTGATTGCTCTCTATAAATACATCAGAAGGAAAAATACCAGGGAGGGAGAGGCCAATGTGGACACAAGAACAAATACATATAAACTGGCCATCAACAAGTTTAGGCTTGAAATTAGATGAAGGTGTCTAACCATTAGAGGAGTGAAGTTCTGGAACAGCATTCCAAGGGGAGCAGTGGGGGCAAAAAACTTAACTGGCTGCAAGACTGAGCTTGATAAGTTTATGGAGGGGATAATCTGATGAGACTGCCTACAATGTAGCCCATCTGTGACTGCTAGCAGCACATATCTCCAACGACCA